GTCCTGGAGGGACTTGGTTTTCTTTTAAGAATACTCTAGATTCTCTCAATCAGGACAAAACTGCTTTTCTTATGAAATGAAAGGCAGTGAGTGCATGGAGAACAGGCATGGTGCAAGGTGGAAGCTGTTCATGTTCCTTTTGGAACAAGGAGAGTTTTCCTGTGTTAGAACTTCCTTAGAGTGCAGATCAGTGTTGGGTACATTTGACAGAGTACAAGCATCTGCAGAGCATGTGCTGTTGTTAGACCCGGTAGTCTGTCCTCCTTTTATGGGTCACAACGAGAAATAGTACTTTAATATGTAATTTATATCATTTAGAGGAGACATTGGAAAAATAGGCTCTGGAGGTGGGACTTCCTCCATGCTGACAGTTCAAGAAGCCTTGATGTCTTGCTCTGGCGTTGAGGTGTGACGTGAGATCAGATGGGTCCTGCCCCAGCACAGCTGGGAGTGAGATCCTATTAACATCTTAGCTGGGGATGCAAGTGCCAGAGGGCAGAGGCTGGGGTGTCTAAATGAGGGAGCTAATGCTGGGTCTGTGGTTACCTTCCTCTGTGGAGAGCTGAAGCACCAAGGTAGTGCCCATCTACCTGATGGGAGACTTCCAGAGCCCAGACACCACTGAGTTGTCTGCACTTTAATTAAAGTCAGTGAGGGGCATGCTGCCTTGCTTTTTTTATGTCATTAAAAAAACCCAAACCAACAAAAAACATATATATATATATATATATATGTGTATGTTACCTATCTAACACATAGGTGTTCCTTTTAGACAAATGTGGAAGAGATGGAGAAGCTTTGTTATGGTCCAAAATGAACAGGATCTGTTCTTCTTTCTGTAGGAAGAAAAAAAAAACCAAGTCACTGGCCTTGTTGACTGAGATGTGTGCTGCAGAACTGAGGACCCAGACTGTTTTCCATAAAACCTAATGCATGAAACAGAGTCAATACCCAAATACTCAGTTGTGCTCAGATCCATGGCTCAGCTGAAAACTGGTTGGTGCCTTCCTGCTGCCTACACCTGTACACAGTCATGGATAGATGGTCCAGACTGACCCGATCCCAAGTGCCCACACATCCAGTGACTGAACCCTTTTCAAAGTGGTTTTTTCCACATGAGGAAACATCTTCCTCAAGTATTTATTACTTTGCCTTGTCCTCTGATTGAAAGGATGCTGTGAGCCCTCTGCACAGGGCAAGTGTTTGGGTGTTCTTTTTTTTTCTCAAATGAAAGAATAGCAACATTCAAGTTCCAGTGGAGCGATGATGCTTCATCAAAGTCTAGTTGACCCTGAAACTTGTGAGTTTTGAGTAAACCAGAAGAGCAGGGTTTCTGATACACCAGGTGCTGTGTCTCATGTCTGGGCTGTATTGCTGCCTCCTTAGGGTTAAGGAGGAAATGCCTCTTCCTGCCTGAAAGGGCCTTTCATAACATTCTGCTGGTCTTTTGGAGCACCAGCTGCTGGTGATAACCTGAGGATGGAATTTCTCCTGTACAACCATCTGAACAGTTGTAATTTCAGTGGCAATTTCCCTTTGCTCACACTGCTCAAATGCACTTTTCTGATGATTTGTAGCAGGGGATTCATTGGCTCCTTTTTCAGCAGGACAGCTCTGCTGTGCATGCAAGTCAGTGTTGATATAATTATAACACATTTGTCTTTAATTTGATAGCCCATTGCTCTTATGCATGTTCACTGTCACTGCAAAAGTGTCCTTTTAGGTGGCTTTTGTCAGGAAGGGATGAGGGGATGCAGAAGTGAAATTTGTTCAGTAAAGAAACATTATTTCTGTTCTCTGTTAACAGCTAAGCATGTAAAAGAATAAAGCAAAAAATACTGGTCAGTCATAGAGAAGTAAAAGAAGCAATGCTTTCCAAATGCAGCTGAGGGATGTGAAAACATGATTCATTTTCAGAAGATTTTGTGTTGTAATTCTGCATCACACCTCTGGCTCTCAACACTCTGCTCTCTGTCTCTCTGTGTGTTCAGTTCATAATATTCTGATTATTTGTCACTAGCTGGGCAGCTATAGCCTTAGTTATGATGTGATCTAAAATCCCCTAAGACACCAAAATACTTGAAGACAAGGAAAGATGTTTCTAAATAGCACATGATATAGCTGGAAAATCTGACCACAGAAAGCCCAGATGTCTGCTAGAGGCACAATTTTCTTAATTACCTAGTTTTGGATACTTAAGGAAGTGCATTAAAAATAAATGAAACTAAGTTGTGGGATGTTCTTTTGAGGTCTAACATGACTGGTATGGATGATCCTTAGACTTTCAGATGCTTCCAGAAAAAACAAAGTATGGCCACTGTATGCCATTTTAGCGTGTTGATTATTTTATTTATTAATTTATTTTTAACTCGGGAAGCTTTTAAATCAAAAGTTGCATTTCAGGTTGGGGAGTACTAAGTCTGTTTTGGAATGATGCTTTCCTTATTTGCAAGGTTTTTGCTGAACCTTTTATGAATATTTGACTTTGCAGAAACCCCCAAATTCCCATCCACCCATGTGCAGCTTTGCTCTGAGGTGCTTTTCTGGTGCTCTGGCTGCCCTTTTTCAGTGCCAGGCCTCAGGGAGTCACAACTTCCCAGCACAAAGTACTTACCCTGTAGTTCTGCTTTTGCTTTGTTGTATTCTAGGTTTTTTTTAACTTTTCCCCCTCTGACCTGCTGCTGATGACCTTGCTGAACCTCTGTCCCGATCCGTATCTTATGCTACCCTGAAATATCGTGCACAGGAAGCATCTGGCTGTTCCCCTGCTGTATGGGGCATTTTTTCAGCGGATTATCTCTGTTTCATTCTGCTTCGTTCTGGCACAAAGCCTGCAAAAGTCATTTGACAAACCTAAGCTCTCTGCAGATCCAGATCATCCATCTCTCGCCGCTCCCAAGACGCCAGCGATTCCCGCGGCGTCCACCTGCTCGGAGCTGGCTGCCTTGGGGACGTGGGCATTTGTCAGGTTTGCTTTTTTCCCCTTCTCATTGCTTTGTCAGTCATACCCCCTAGAAAAGGAACTGTGAGTTGCTAGGAGAAGGTGAATCAAAATGTGTTCAACTTTGGGAAGTGAAGTGTGTGATGGAGATGGGATTTTTAAACATCTACTGACAGTCTTCATGGTGGCAAGGAGGGGGTGTATTTCTCACAAGCTTCTGGCTTCTGCGCTTGCAGATTTCCCATTGAGAGGGAAGTTAACTTTGATTTTGCAGGTGCAAGAGAAAACAAGTTTCTGTGGCTTCCTTCCGATTTTACACTGTCTTTTCCTTTTTTAAAATAAATTTTGTTCAGCTGCTACGCACAGCCCTGGCAGGTACCCAGCCCCCTTTGTGTTTCTTTGTTGAGTCAACAATAAATCCAGCCAGAGGAGAACAGCTTAATGGTCTGTAGTAATCATCCATCCAAACTCCTGGCTACAATCTTCATCTCTCCAGCCTGTGTAGCTCCTTTCCTCCCAAAGGGGAACCATTTGTGTGTGTGGTGCATTGCCAGAGGGTCCTTGTGCCTTGGTGAGTGTTCAAGGCTAGGCTGAATGAAGCTTAGAACAGCCTGGTCTAGTGGAAAGTGTCCCTGCTTGCAGCAGGGGGCTGGAATGGGATGATCTTTAAGTGTCCTTCCACCCCAAACCACTCTGATTGTTGATCACAAGTAGTGCAGGTGATGTTGGTGCAGCATAAAATGGCTGGGACCCCTGGGATCCCCACATCCTTGGTGAAGTGTGTGCCTAACATGTCCCCTTTTGGAAAGTCAGGAGAACCTTCAATTGGGATGTAATACCTTTTTCCAGGCTAAAATATAATCTGCTCAGTTCCAGATAAATGGGTTTCACTTTGATGCTGCAGGTCTTGTGCGTTATTGCTGTGTTGATAAGATTAATGATGTTGTCATGGTCATCTTAGTGGTGTTTCACTAAAATGCCTCCTTTTCAGGTTGAGTAGCAATGTGGGAATCTCTCCCTTCATGTTTTAATTTTTTTTCCTGACTTTCCTATTAGCAAGATAAGCATTGAGGTGTGATTCCCAGCGCTGAGACCAGAAGGTCTGTTCAAAGAATTCAAAACCTCATGGTTCCTGAAGGGTATTTAATATTTTGGGGCTGCACCAAACCACTCAGAATAAGCTGCAAGGAACAAAAGCTTCTGAGAAGTGTACTTATTCATTACTGTGTACAGTCATACATTATAAAGTTTAATACTTGCTTGCAGACTGGGTGACAGGGACTCCATTTGCGCTGTGTTTGCCTCTTAATCATTATGATAATTTTTTATACATCATCTCTAAAAGGCAGATTAATTCCAAGCATGACAAAACCTCCCATGGCCTTGCTGCTGAGATCTGCCCAATAAAAGCAGCACTGGGTTTATTTTAATTTTTTTTTTTGAGGCAAAGTTCTTATTTACCTATTATCAAGCCATGCAATTACTTAAAGACATTATTCTTCTGCTCAGTGATGAAATAAGCCCTGAAGTCACACCAGTGAGGTCACCCAGGTACCTGCAAACACGGTGCCTTAGCGTAGCTAGTTTGCTGCTTGCAGCTGGTGCTGTGCCCTGGAAACAGCACTCATGTAGAGTGAGATACATATATATATATATATATTTATATATCTCACTCATCATTAGTGAGATGCTGTTTGGCTGGGGCAGTTCCCAGCCAGGGTGTGTGGCATGCTGAGGCTGTGCTGCTCTCAGCATCACGGAAATCCTGAAGTGAGCCATGTCTCTCCGGTCAGCACACGGGCAGGAGCAGGGCAGACATCCTGACAGAGACCAGACAGCGCTGCTTCGTTCACAGCACACTTCTTGTGAACTGCAAGAATTCATTTTCCCTTTCGGGGCCCCTGAGCTTGAGTTTCAAAACGAGAACCATATTTTGAGCTCTTTGTTCCGATAGAAAGTCAGCTCCTCATCCCTGCTGAAACCCTCTCAGTGCTGCAAAGCTGTAAGAATAAGCCAGGCTCCAGCTCATGCCTTAAATGTCATGTTTTGTGTTTTCCAGATTGGCTCTTTTGGTGGGTCCTGTGCCCCATGCAGGCTGTGGCTGAGCAGGGGAGGTCCTGCAGCCCTGTCACACTGTGCTGAGTGTGGCTGCTCTCCCTGCACAACTCCTTCAGCTCATTTCGTGTGAGATCTCTCTCTTCCAAGTGAGTAAACCGCAGATGCAACTTCCTGCAAAATTACCAACTTTTACGGAACACTTATGGCTCCCTGCATGGTCTCCTCCTCCGCTCCCACTGTGCTGCTGCTTTTCTGAAGGCAAATTAAACAGATCTATTCCAATCTGACTGAAGCCATTGAGTTACTTAAACAGATTGACCTGACTTGGACTTATCAATTTCTTTAATGAGGTGTCCCCTGCAACTTCTGCTTGGCTTTTTGCCATCCTTCTCATTAAAAAATTTATTTTGGAATCTCTTTTTTCCAGGTGGAGTCATTGCCAAATAGTTGGCTGGGTATATGCCTGACCCTTACCCCCTAATAATGCTTTAATTTTCATTTTTAAATCTAGCAAAGGCACTGTGAAATTACCTTGCTTATAGATGTATGATTTGGAAAATGTTTTAACACTAAGTGAGGAGCAGCAGTGAAGAGGGTGCTTCTTCCCTCTGGCTCCATGGAAATAATCCTGCATAACAGTAAGAGTTTCACAATTAAAATGCTGGTTTTTGCAGCCTGGGTGAGATGTCTTTTTATGGTCACCTTTTAAAACAACAACAGTGACAGATTCCACCCAGGCTGGAGGGATAATGATTTCCCATTGAAACTTTATGAAATGGAACCTTCAGGATCAAATGGTGGATCACCTACACCCAAAGTGCAGGGGGAAAAATAAAAATCATTGTTGATTTGTAGAAAAGCTGGTGTGCTTCTTTGGGATGAATATGCATCAAAAATGGTTGGATTAATCCAGATTTACTCCAATAAAACTGTATTGTGTCCTTGAGCATCCCCCCCAGGCACATCATCCTTGATGCTGATGGTCCTTCCCCTAAAGCTGTTAAATTGGCTGATGTTTCGTGATTGTTTTGGTCTTTTCCTTGAGCCATTAAGATCATTTATGTATTGTACATCAGTCAAGGCCAGATCCTCCACGTGTGCATGAGGTCACAGCTGTTTGAAGGCCTTACTCAGGCCACAAGGACAATGCCTGTTTTGTACTCCAGATCCTTCAACTCGAAGGATCAACTTCACCCAAAAGTACTTCCCAAGTTCTTCCTCCTATTCAAAAAAAGTAACAAGCTGTGACCTGTCTTCTTTCAGGTCACAGATTATTAATCCTTCAGGTGTAACCTTGACCAGGGCCCCCGGTGGTGGGAAGGGAGGATGTTGAGTTTTCTCAACAAAACTTTCTGCAGCCCATCTTGTCCATGTATGTTGAGCACAAGACATACAATGTGGGAACTCCAAGGAAGCACAGGCAGAGAGAGAAATGAGTGATTTTTGGGTGCCTGCTGTATGCAGCCATGAGGTATAGGGCAAATGCTCACTCTTCCAAGGTGCAGTGTGCACAGACATCACACCAGGGAACATTACCACTGCTACTGCTGCTTTAGGTTTTTATTTTTTACTTTTAAGACAAAGTCTCTGTAGAGTTTAGGTGCCAGTGTGGGAAGAGAGCTACTGACCAGAAGGTGTTTGATGCACAAGTTTGCACCGAGGCATCTTCTTGTTGTTGTCTCTCTGACTCTTTCCCAGAGCAGAGTCCAGAGTTCCATCTGAGCTGACCAGGTTTAGCAGGAACTGGTTTTGCCTTCATCTTCTGCATGTTCTGTCTGTCTTAGTGGGGGCAGGTTCCCAGCTCCACTGAAGTGGTCTGTTCTTTCATCCTGGTAGAAATAAATCCAACTCATGCAAAGTTGCTGCAGAAGAAAAGCCTTCTGCCCTGGCCAATAAACCACTTCTGCTCCTGTCTCTCCTGCTTCAGCCAGCCAGCCTTGCTGCTGACAGTATTTTCATCTCAAATGCACAGTTAGAAAAGCAGGGCAGGGAAACCCAAGATATATCTTGGGAAATAGCTACCTTCTATGCAGAACTACATCTCATTCCCAGACAGAGAGAGGAGGAGGAGGGTGTGTGGCTGTGGGCCCTGGAGTCCAGTGGGATGCAGGGAAGTGGGGGCATCCCAGTGGCATTAGTGAGGACGCTGTTTCAGATCCCAGCAGCGTGCTCCAGCCTCCTGGCTGCAGTCACAGTCACAGTATTTACTACTGACTGCTACTGGATTTTTACAAAACTGATTCAGCAGGGCATCTGCACTATTTAAGGGAGTGGGGAATGACCGTGTGGTTACAAAGTTAGATGTGTGCATAAGTGTCTTGCTGAACTGGTATTAATTTAGAGAAAATAAATAGATACTTCCTGGCTTGAGTCTGGGGCCAGCATGTGCAACCTGGTTAGATTTAGGGTGTTTCAGTTCTGAGTGCCTAACTTAAGATACCTCAACACACAAGTTAATAAAAAAAAAACATGAACACCCACAAGAAAAGCAGAGCCTTAATGGCACTGAACCATATCCAACACTCGTTTACAGAGGGATTTCCAAGGTGTGCAGTCCAAGCAGTTGGATAGTGAATGTAAAGATGTCCAGAGGACCATGTATATTGCATTTGCAGAAGTATTGTTGAGCTGTGGTCAGAATGACCACAGATAGACCCGATGTGACTCAAATAATCAGGTAATAGTCTGCATGGAAGCCACAAGAGTTTGGAGAAGGTGTTTTTTTGTGTGTGCCCAGTGGGCCTGATCCCACATTCCTGTGCTGGTTCTGAGGAACTGACCATTAAAATCAAGGAGGTTTTTGACTGACTAAGGAGTTAGACTGTATTGCTGTGGATTTTAGTTCCTTCCATTCATTTTCCTTTGATTATCAGTACAATGCTTTATTTTTGCACAGTGTAGTATTTTATTAAAGGCACATTTGTAGCTAATAATATTTATGAAGAGGCAGCTTTGACTGAAACTGCATCTGAATGTCACTTGAATAATGAATGGGAATGCCATATAGCCATTAAAATTTCAACAATGATAACTGTATGTCTGTTAGAGTCCCCTTTTTGATGGATATGGCCAGCAGCCATTAAAATACAGTGAGAATCCTTGTTCACAGTCCCATAATGGGTGATAATAACACTCTTGATAAGAATTTGCAGCTTAAGATACCAATTTTACAAAAGGGATTTATTGCAGCTAACAGCAGCTCTGAAGATGAAAATGTAACCATCATTCAGTTCTACTTTTACCTTTTTTTTTTTTTTTTTTTTAAGTCTCATGTATGTAAAGAAAGGATTTTACTTCCCCATCACTCTCTGGAGTTGGTTTCCTGCTGGCCCTTATTAAAACTTTCTCACTTTTTGAATATAAAATGTTAGCCAAAATCCCCACTGGTTTAAAAGAAAAGAAAACCAAACTTCTCATCCTATTTTTAACACAGAGGGTTTGTAGAATTTAGAAATAGATGTGGCCTACTGTGTCATCCAGTCAATTTTCTACACCCCTCCATTATTTCTTGCAAGCCTTCATGTTTCTGGGCTTTTTAATGTTTATAGATGCATTGCTGCTGCAGCTGTTCTCCAGCTCGGTGACGTGTGGATGTCACTAGGCTCTAACAAGGAGACTCATGTGGCACTTTGAAGTTGGAGGAAAATAGGGAAAAATCTTCTTAATAGAATCTATCCCAGAAAGTGACTTTGCTTAGCTTACAGTAAATAGGGGGTGCTTCAAAAAGTGTATTAACTGTAGGGTAACTGTTTTCTTGGGCCTACAAAGCTGATGCAAGAGGCAGTGTAGTACAGTGGCTGAGATGACTGACAAGTTTTTATTCTGTTTTTTGACCTTCAAAAAGTCACTTAATCAAGCTTTTCCTTTACCCCCTCATCCCTTCTGCAGAGCAGGGTTTATCTGAGCAGAAAGTGCTTACTAAGCATCAATTGAACACCTACTGTGCCAGGACCCTGAGCTTTATCTCTCAAGCCTGGTCAAATCCAAAATAATAGGTTGGTCTTCTGAAGAAATAGGTTGTTGAAAGAATCATGTAGGCTTGGGTTTTCGACTGGTACAAAAAACTGGATTTCTTAAGGATTTGGCAAACTGAGTTTAGCTTTCCTTCTATAATTATGGATATAGTTTGTTGACTTTGCTGATTCTTTACCTCCATTCCTGTGTTCAGTTCTGATCTGGCAGCAGGAGCTGGAAGGCTCACATCCTTCTGCATTAAACAGGGTGCAATGCCTAGTTATTATAATGATTAAATTTGGTGATTAAGTGATCTGTAATTGTGTGTAAGCTCAGACATCCCAAGATATTCCTCAAAGCCATGGTGGCTGATCATCTGGTCAGGGTTGGGGTGTCACTGTGTTGATTAAATCTTACTTTAAGGAGAAGCTGGTTCACATCTCTGCAAACACTTAAAGCTCTGTGGAATTTTGCTACATTTCTCTTTGCTGAGCAATACGTGAAAGTACATCAAGTGCAAGGCTAGATAAGTAATAAATGTCAAGAAAGTATCGATAGAAGGATGTATTTGTAAAATAAATTAATGGCTCCTTGTTTAATTTAAGAAGACAGAAAAATATCACATTCATGATAAATTTCTGAAGTACAAAAAAAAAGAGAAAATAAATATATGCCAGTATTATAACTTCCTCTTCATGGCTAAAGCTATGGCATTTTTAAAGCCAGGAATGAAGCAATTTTAGGTATGATTCAATTGAAATTTCTGCCTTTCTCTGTCCTCTTGGAATAAATCAGCCATGCATTTTAAATTTTCCTCCTTTCATATGCTATGGGATATTGATAAAAAATGATAATAACAAAAAAGCAATGCCTTTTATAGCAAAGAAAAGGCAGTCTGGTAGTCAAATGTTTTTCAAGCTTGGTGCAACTTGGACTGAAAGACTGGAATATCACCTAGTAATAAGTTTGTGGAGATGAAATCCACTTGGATAATAAGTACAGAGCTATGCAACTTGACAGGCTGAGTCCTAAAGGGCAGCAGTCTTGGATCCAATAGTCTCTCTCATTTTGAATAATTGCTGTGCAACACACAATCAAACATTTATTGCTGAGTACAGGTGCATTTGCTCTCCCTGGTGACCCTCTATAAGCAAATGTGCAAGACGATTTTATTACCAGGAATGCAATTCAC